ACTAATTAATAGGTTAAAATTACTAAATACTTTTATATAATTAATATTAAAATCAAAATTATTCTTATTAACTATCTACTATTTATTAGATTATTATTAATTTAATTTAATTTATTTTATTTTAAATATAAATTTAATTATAATAATTAAAATTAATTTTATAAATTTAAATTTCAAATATATATTTTAAATCATTATTAATAATTATTATTAATATTACATAAATTGTATATTTATTATATAATTGTTAATTTATTTATATTTAAAATTATAGCAACAAATTCTCTTTATACTTTTTTATCAATTTAACTTTAATTGATATTTTGATATTTTAATTAAATAAATTAACATTTAAAACTTAATTAAAGTTATTTAGTAAAATTTTAATATTAATTTTATTAAGATTATTTCAGTATTTATAGAAAAAATTAAATTTTTTTATAATGTTAATGATTTTTATATTTATAATATTAATAATAAATAAATTTTTTTTTTATTTTTTATTTTATTTTAATATTTTAATTTTAAAAAATTAACTTCAAAGTCTAAATAAAGTTATTTAGTAAATTTAAATTTAATTAAATCTTAATTTTCATTAAGATTAATTTAATAGTTTATATTTTATAATATTAATGACAAAATTTTATTTTTTATCATTTTAACATTAGTTAAGAATTTTAGCAATTTTATTTAAATAAATTAACTTTTAAACTTTAATAAATATATTCAGTAGATCCTAATTTAATTGAATATTATTTTCATTAAAGTTAAATTTAGTATCTATAAAGATAATTAAATTTTCTATTGCTAATAATAACTAAATTTATTTTTTTTATTATTTTAACAAAATTTTAATACTTTAGTTTAAGTAATTAATTTTTAAAACTAATTGAGATTATTTAATAAATCAAAATTTAGTTATATTAATTATTTTTAAATTTAATTTAATATTTATAAAGTAATTTATAAATTTTTAATACTAATAATAAACAAAATTCATTTTTTTTATTATTTTAGTATTTTAGTTCTAAAAATTGACTTTTAAAGTCTAAGTAAATTTATATAGTAAATCTAATTTAGTTAAATTTTAATTTTTATCAAATTAATTGATAATTATGAAATAATTTACATTTTGTAAAATTAATGATAAATGAATTTACTTTTACTATTTAATATCAGTTAATAATTTTGATATTTTAGTTTAAGTAAATCAACTTTAAAGCCTAATAAAATTATTCAGTGTATTTGAATTTAGTTTATCTCAATTTTTATCAAATTTAGTTTAATATTTATGAAGTTATTTATATTTTTATAATACTAATATTTATTTAATAATATAATAAAAATTTGAATTTAATAAAATATAATATGTATTATTAGTTAAATTTTACTAAATAATAATGCTTATTTAACTGATTTTAAATGAATTTATAGCTGAATTTATATTTTAAATTAATATTAAACTATAGTTGATTTACAATTAAATATATATTTTGAATTGATATTAAATTGCAATTAATTTTAAGCTATTTTATATTTAAATTTTATATCATAAAATATTATGTTAATAAATGTTAATAAATATTGCTAATTTATTTGATACTTTATCTCATAATTTTATAAGCTTTATACTTAAAAATATGAATTTATTACTATTCAATTCATCTTAATAAGATAATTCTAATAAGCTATATTTTATCTTTATATAATCACTAAATATTATACAATGTAAAAAAATATATAGAAGATTAATGTTAAATGTCATAATAGGTATAACAGAGTTGAAAAGTTATAATGTTTTGCCATAAAGTTGTAACTTTTTGTCATAATTTTTTAATCAGTTATAATTAATGTAATATTTGTAATTAGTATAATATTCAAAATATAATTCACATGAAGATTAAATGTAAATATCTAATACACAATTATCAGCTGTGGATTTGCTCTTTGTAAAACTTTAATTTATAGTATTAACATATTTTTTGCTTTATTTTTGCTAAATTTAAAACAAATTTAAGAGAAGTATAGTAGTTTGGTTTAAGAATGTTACTAATGTAATTTTACTTGATTTTTTGCAGATAATTTTTTTTAGATAATCTGTAGATATACTATACAATATTATGAAAAATATTTTTAGATCCATTCTTATTTAATTATAAATTAGATATTAGGATTTTAATGTAATTTTTGTACTATAATTAATTGAATTTTTAATAAAAAATCATTTTAATTTATAAAATTTAATATTTTTATTCAAAATTATAAAACTTTATTTATAAATGATTGTATACAGTCAACTCTTGTTATAACGAACTCTATGTCCTAGACCTCAACTTCGCTATAAGGCTATAGTGAAGAGTTTAAGAGATTTGATTGGCTAATTCGCTATAACAAGAGTATTTTTATTATATTTGTTCAAAAAATTCGTTATATCAAGAGTTCACTATATCAAGAGTTGACTGTAAATGCAAAAATTTCATTTACATAAAGTATTAAAATTACATTTTTTTAGTCTATTAGTAATAATTTCATTCATGTCATTTCATCATCTTTATCACTGAATTTAATTTCATCAAATTTTCCCTTTTTTTTATATTAAGATAAATCCTATTAGAATGAAAAATTGGAGATTAGAGATCAATTATATTTGAAATATTCAAGTTTATAGCCAATTCAATTGTATAGAGATATTCATCTGGATTTAGTAATTTCGTATTTTCTAATTTTTCTAAAGAGACTTATTCTTCAAGCTTATTAAAAACTGTTTCTGTAACATTTATCATGAAGTTGTTCTGCAGTATTTGATAAATTAAACTGATAAATTTTTGCTAACCCTCTAATTTTTCCATTCCTAATTGAATTCACCATTATAAAGTTAAAACGGCGAATGATCGTCAAAGAGACCAACTTTAATTATCAAAAGCGATTTACATGCGGAATTATGAAGATTTCGGCCGGAATTATATTCAATTGTAATAATGCTATTAAAATCACGTTACGGATCATATGATTTACTATGTTCGTAGCTTGATTTTAATAGCAAACCTGCCATATTTTATAAATAATTATTATAAAAATATCTTTTAATTTTTTTTTTTCTGTAATTAATCTGTTGACTAAATGAAATTATAAATTTAATATATAAATAAGGCAATTAAGAAAATTAGTATATAAATCTAGGATGGGAACGTTCATAAAAGAGCGACTCAGTGTCGGTTCTGGAAATTCAGCATATTCTGAATTTACCTGAATAACAAACAATTTTTACCTCTATTTGTAAATTTACTTTAGAGAGAACCCGTTCCCATCTCTAATTAAACCAGATACAGTTAACTATTCAATATCTTAACTACGAAGTTTAGTTGCTATACTTGTTTAATTAAAAAAAAAAAAGAAAAGTAATACCTATTATTTAATCGGCGCAAAAAAAAATAACCGGTCTTTGTTCATCAATTTCTGGTAGATGTGACACCGGGTAACAAATTGTGCAAGAAATGGGTGAAAAAATTTGATCTCTTATTAATACATAATAAGGGGACCAGTTCAAAAAGTGCGACTCAAAGTCGGTCTGGAAGGTTGGAGATAAGCGTAATTTTACTAGAATTTGCGCCGTTGGGCTTCATTTTTGATTCTATCAAAATAAGCTATTTATCCCCTAACCCATGGTACAACCTGTCATTTACGTGATTATGCAAATGATTTATGCCAACTAGGCGTGCATAAATGAATTTATTGCTTCACAATGTTTGTTTCATCAACACTTAAAACATATTTCCGAGCGTTATCAAAAGAAACCAAAAATTTCGGTTACATAATTTGGCGAATCAAAAAAAAAAATCAATTATACAATCTCGGTTTTACTTTGATATCGTTATACAACAGCCACTTTCTTTATTACTAAACTTAGTTGCTAAACCCGTTGCAAATAAACGGATATTGATATGTGAAACGGAAGTGGTTATAAAATTTTATAAACTTATTTATACAAGGTAAACTAAACGGTATCCTTATACATAAAATACAATTTATAAAAGAGTGGAATTTTGTTATAAATTATAAAAAACTCAAAAAAGAAAAAAAAAATCTTTTGTAACAAAGTTAAAAAATTATACGCAATGTTTATGATAGAATCGTTTCGCGATCTGAACCAATTTGGTTTAGATATTTACGAGGTTTATTTGCTATTGTTCTCACAACGATACTTATTGTTTATTCAATAAATAAATTATATAATTTTAACGCATCGACAAACCGTTTTAATTATACTCAGCTTCATGGTAAGAAAATGAAATGTATTTATTTTTTATAAAGATTTAATATTAACATTCAAATTTTTTTAAATGAAAGTCGACAATGAATTTAATATAAGCATATGTACTGGAATTTCGAATGTAATGACATTAGATACTGATATTGAAAATGAAATTACAAAAATTACAAAAATTACAAATAAAACGTCTCACTGTCAAACTGTTCAGTTAAATAATATTACGTTTGATCAAAACTTTTGGTTTAATATCACTACTGCTTTTTTTAACAATAATTTTAACAAAAATGATACGCAACAAGATTCAAAATATCCTTTGTATCCTTATGAACTCAGTATATATACCTAGTGATATTCCTGATAAACATGTTATTTTTATGCTTTAAATCTATCAGATTACAAATTAAGGACCCAAATTCTCTGTTGAGAAAATATATGTTTATAGATAATTTAGATGAATTTTCTAGTCAAGAATTTGATATTGATAAATTAGAATCAAACTATTTTTTATTTAACCCAGAAAAAGTTTCTTTAATAACTTTTAAACCAATGATTAAAATGGTTAATACAACAAAATTAGAATTAAAGCCACTATTAGAACAAATACCTATGAGTCTAAAATCTAATGAATTTCAAATTGGATTTAACTTTCCTTCAAGAATTTTCATATTTGAAAAATCGGAGAGCAAATATAAGTATATACTATATACTATTATTATTATATACCCAAATTTACTATATTTTTTTTCAATTTTAAATGCTAATTTAATAGCTGATCTTGGAGGTTTCTATAGTGCTTTAGCAGGCAAGTATATTATCCAAAAAAAAAAAATTTAACGCTTTTAACCATAAAATTAACAAATTTCATAGGAATCTTTCATTTATTATTTGGAATGAATAAACTTGAACCATGGTAAGCAAATATATTTATAATTTGTACCTTTAACGTTAAAGGGATTTGGCACAAAAGTATTTACTTTCTTATATTCCTTTTAGACAAAGTTTTACAAGAAAATTCGCAGAAAGATATGTTACATATGTCGGCCTTCCATTAGTTGAGAAAATTGAACTTAAAGAAGAAAACAATAAGACAACTTTGAAAGATGAAGTTCAAATTTTAGAGAAATTGAAATATTTAATGATTAGAGTTCAAATGTTAGAAGTCTTATTAAAGTTTACTATTTAGATGATTATTTATTAAAAAAAGTTAGATTTGCTAAACGTAAATATGATGAAAAGAAAAAATAAGGAAGAAGATATGTTGTCATGGGTTTAAAAATGAACGAGTTTAGATTTTGAATTTCATTTCATCCATTTTTTGTATTTTTTTTTTTTTTTTGATATAATTAAATCTGTGTAACAGAAATTACAAAATTTAATTTCTTTACAATATATAAATAAACAACTAAGTTAAATTCATTTACGTTGACGAGCCATTATAATATAATCACTTTTGGAACTTTATTTTCCGTTTTTGACGTTCTTTGTTTTTGATCATCTATCAACAGTTCTTTAAGAAAATTTAATAACTTTTTAATGGATTCCAAATAGATATTTATAAAATAATTCTGAACCCGATTCATCATCAACAACAATCTGTAATTTTGAATACTCATATTCATCATTCAATTCAGGACCAAATTCGACTAATAAAATTAACTTTGCAAATTAATAAATATTAATTAAAATTTCAAAAATACATCAAATACTTACGATGATATTTAAGTCATTTGCCGTTTTTATCAATCTTACCAAAATTTAAATGACATACTATTGTATTTAAAAATAATAAAAATGATAAAGCTATAGTTACTCCTTGTATTCCTAAAAGTAAGCAATAATTTAATAATCGTAAATTACAAGTACTTTAATTTTAAAACGGTATATTTTATAATAACTTACCGAATAAAAATTTTAGTTTAAAATAAAAAGGAAAAATATGATTAAAATTTGCACAAGAAGAAAACTATAAATCAAAATTATACGCCACTTTGATTCCAATATAATCTAAAATTTAAATTATAAAAAAATTAATTAATTGCAAATTATATATGAAGGTTCTTGAGAATTTTTTTGACAAATTGAGATTATATTGCATTTTAATCTAATTACATCAATCAAGATTTGATTAAACAATTTCAGAACTTGATTTTCTTAGAATCTTCCCAATAAGAAGTCAACATACTTACAATTTTTGAACTGAATGTCAAAGTAAAGAATGGTAATAAATATATTGACGTCGAAAATGCCAATGTAACTTTTATATTATCTAAATCTATATCATACTCTTTCCCTGAAATGTGAGAATAAAATGTAATAATATGTGTAAAATGAAATTATAATATTTGTAACGTATGTAAGGCCCTATATTAAATAACGATATTTAATAATATTCTAATTATACAAGTTGAATATACAAAATAATTGCATGATAACTAATGCTTACCTTGTAGTTCACTTGGTATTGAAATTTTACGTAATACTCTATTTCTTAGAATCTACTTTAAAAATTAAATAAAAAGAAACTCGCTTAACTCACTCACTTTCTTTTCCGTAGATAGATCAACAACATAATAAATATAATGCAAAATAATAGGGATTACAGCACTAGCAAAAAAATTGGCGTTAGGTTTAACCATTGTTTTTATCTCTTCCACTTCTTCTTTGTTATATACGGTATGATTATCATATTTATTACGAAAATTATCTATTATATCGCTTTTTTTCGCTTTATGAGATTTTTTTTTAAAAAAAAAAACTAAATAAATAAGATAAATGAAAATTAAATTAATGACTATAAAAATTTAAATTTATAAATTTTTATTACTAATTATAAATTCATGTTTGTCAATATCTAAAAAACAATTAAAAATAAAAAATAAAGATTAAGATGTGAAAATGAAAATTAATGACAAAATAACAATATAAAAAGTTATTACCTCTTTCTTATTCATTTAAAATCCAACAATAATCGACGATCGCAATGTCAATTAAAAGTATGATATGGATTACACAAAAGGCTAATAAATAGATTAATTTTTTCTCGACAATCTATTATGAAATTAAAATCGTTAAAGTATCTTTTAATAATTACATTATATTAAATTTAGAAAAAGATTACTTACAGTATATATCCCAGATACAAAAATAACGAAAAATAATACAAGCAAATAATCTGTTCTCGTTGGTAATATAAATATTCCTACAATGCCAAATATAATTTCAACAAAAAAGATTCCTATAAAAATCGAATTTACAAGAACTTTCATTCGTTTATCCATTTTTCTTCAAACGAAAGCGAAAAATCGGTGTGATAGAACAGAAATTTATACAAGATTTTATACGAATTACGATTCAAATTGTACACGGAAAAAGGAATTTGCATTCTCGATTAACAATACAATTATTATCTAATTTTGGGATTTTATTTTCTACGAATGCAGGAGTGCGTAAATTACACATAAATGAAATTTAATTCAAACTTGTTATTTTTTTTAATACACAACCTTCTAAGATTAAAATGACATGATGCAATAAAATAATATGCGATATTTATACTAAAAATGCATACGGTAATTAAATTAACATTTTAAAAATTATCCATTATCGCTGTGTGTCATATTTTTCCGGCTCCCTGGTCGATCATTTATATCACAATTAAGTTACTTTTTTGATCAACCTGACCTGAAATCTGTGCCGCGGCGATTATAGGTAGGTTAACCTTTTTGCCAAAAAAAGTCATTTGGTGTGTACTAACTAAGTAAACTTTATATAATTTTAAAAGTTCAAGTGTGAAGTTTACAAGGTATAATTTCGAAAAGAAAAATTTTTTTATTTCCAAAAAGTATAATATATCCGGATAACCTGGCATATTTGCCTGATTTATTATTTTTAGTATAAATGCGGAATTTATATGGGTGTGTAACATTAGAATAATATTTATAAGTTATTGTTTTGTAACGATTAATATCAAAATTATTGTCCAATTCATAATGACGATCAGTTAGATTTAGCCACGTTAGTGGCTAAATCTGA